TCAGGAAGACTTGGTTGACTTACACGAACCATAACACCAACAACATAAGATATCTCTTTTTATTGGGTAAATCTAACGAATCTGTAAATAATGAAGTTAAACATGAACACAGACTCTACCAAGACTTACTTCAGGGTGATTTCAACGACACGTACCACAACCTTACGATGAAAACTATCATGGGATTGGAATGGGCGGTTGCCAATTGTAACCAAACCCAGTTTTTACTGAAAACAGACGACGATGTATGGATGAATATCCCTTTTATTTTACAGCGCATAAAAAATAATTATGACCCACTAACATTTACTTTAGGTGGAAAGTGCGGAGGTGGTCGACCACACAGAATCCCCCATTCTAGATATTATGTTCCTTATGACATTTATCCTTATGAATACTATCCACCATATTGCAGTGGTACCGGATACCTTACCACCATAACAGTAGCAACTAAAATAATCAACATATCAAAATCTATTCCCTTTTTTCCACTGGAAGATATTTATGTAGCGTTGTGCTTAAAGAAACTTGCCATCCCCGTTCAAAACATACAAGGTTTTTATAACAGTCGAGAAAATAATATTCCTTTGTGCTACTTCAAAACGAACAAAGTATTAATGATGCATCATTTCAATTCTGAGGAACTAGATAAATTATGGATATACAATCAAACATGTTCATACATAACAGGGGTGGCTGGTAATAGGAGAATAAACAAGCCGCCAGTGTTTCATATTCACAGAAATATCCATCCAAGAAGGATGCCTATCAACGGAAAATACCGATTACAGGGTCGACCACTCCAAATGAGTAAAAGACGTCATTAGTTTATCCTTTGAGTTGTTTCGTTAATGTAAAGTTTCCTAAAGCCATATGCAGTCATTGTCCTTCAGAGATTTGATGATTTTGAAAAAAAACCATCTAACAACGAAAGAGTTTGACATCGGTTCACCAATTCCTGTAAAACGAAATGAAATGGGGTTTAACGTCCTACTGGGCTAATGAAGGCACTTCATACAGTGTGCTATGAAAGAAGCTTTGTCCGGACAGCGGCTCTATGGCCTACTCTTATATTGAATTCAAACTGAAAATAGTTTCTTTACGTACACGAAATGAAATGAAATGGGGTTTAACGTCTGACTATTCTGCTCTGAAATGGGCTAATGAAGTCGGGCATACGCCATACAGTGTGCTATAAGGGAACCTTTGCATGGGCAGCGGCGCTACGGCCTACTCTTATATCGAATTTCAACTACCAAGGGATATTTTACGTGCACGCCAATGTGTAAACGGGACCTTGGTTTTTCGTCCCATCCGAACGACTAGACAGCTGTCCTTGTCAGCCCCCCCCCCCCCCCCGACCCCCGTCCTGCATCACTGACAAGGGGAAAGCACGCCGGAAAATCTGGATGAAATTTCTCGGCCAATGCAGCGATCGAACACCCGAACTCCAGGCTAGTGAGCCAGCGTCTTACCCACTTAGCAGCCGTGACCCCCTTTACGTACACACCAATTTGCACCTTGGTTTTTCGTCCCATCCGAACGAGTATACTTTGCCCCTTGTTGTCTTCCACCACTGACAATGGTGAACTACGCCGAAAAATCCAGATGGACTTTCTTGGCTAACAAGGGGCCGAGCACGGGACCTCTAAGTTAGCCAATCAACGTGTTATTCGCTGAGCCACCGCGGTTCCCCAATTCCTATAACTCAGACTAAAATGTATTTAATTTTGAACAATATCATAGCCAAAATAGTTTTACTAATTACATAAAATCTAAGCTCTCTAAATTGGAAAGGTATATACGCGAACATAATTCGTTAAAGATATTAAATTCATTGCTTTTTATGATGTAGAGCAATCTGATTAAAATACATATCCTATATCGTTTCGTTTTTTATAGTTCAAAATTTCGATTTACTTGTCTTTACTACACTAGGATCTGGAGGAGTTATTACTAGTATATTACCGGCGTTTTGGTTGAGGTGAAACGGTCTGTTACGGAGACTTCTTGACGTGCCCTGCACGGATCTGGGGGTAAACCACTAGAAACGTCAACGCTGATTGATTAATCAATATCTGACGTCATAGAGTCAAAAGTAGCCCGTACGACCCCTGACACGACCTTCGAGTACAACTTGTCAGATCTTCAACCATAGAAAGTATAAAACCAGCGGCTGCCAGGCAGGATACGCCAACATTTTGCAAGAGATGGATAGAGAACAAACGAAAAACAAACACGAGACTTCTTGGCGTGCCATGCAGGAAACTGTGGGTAAACCACTAGAAACGTCAACGCTGATTGATTAATCAATATCTGACGTCATAGAGTCAAAAGCCGCCCGTACGACCGCTGACACGACCTTCGAGTACAACTTGTCAGAGTATAAAATCAGCGGCTGCCAGGCAGGATACGCCCACATTTTGTAAGAGATGGATAGAGAACAAATGAAAAACAAACACGATTTTTTGTACACTCAGGGGCAATAATCCAGATAGTTATAGTCTGAAATGCGCAAATATCAAAAGGGACTGAGATCTTTGGGATATAAAGATATGTTTAAAGTTTCATCAAAATCGGATAAAAATTGTGACCTCTAGAGGATTCACAACCTTCGTATTACATACTTTTACAAAATTTGCGTACAAAGTGCGGTCATTTTGTCGGACAGTTTCATTTTAATTTCCCCTAAATTCGAATTCAACGTTCATTATGGCGGAATGGTAATATGTTTAAAGGGTTTTTAAAATCAGGGAAAAAAATGTGACCTCCAGAGAATCCGCATGCTAAAATGCGATTTTTCGAACAATCAGGGACCATAATCCAGGAAGGAATGTTCGGATATATGCGCGATTATCAAAAGGAACCAAGATCGTAGTGTGTAACGGTGATATATTCACGCGTTTTTTTTTTTAATCGGATTGTGATCTCTACAAGGATCACAATCTAAAAATGTGATTTTTTATACAATCAAGGGCCATAATTCAGGACTTTACGATCCGATATGCGCGAATATCGACAGGAACCAAGATCTTCGGGTTATAATCGTGGATTTCAAGTTTCATTAAAATCGGATCAAAATTGTGACCTCTAGAGGCTCCACGACCTTGATATACCAGATGCTTACAATATTTGCGTACGAGGGGCGGCCATTTTGTCGGGCACTTTTGGTCCGATTTTCACGAAATTCGAACTAAACCAAAATTACAGTGTAACGGCGATATAATCGAACGTTTTTTTTTTAAATCGGATAATATTGTGACCTCTGGAGGGACCACAAGCTAAAAACGCGATTTTTCGTACAATCAGGGGCCATAATTCAGGAAGTTACGATCCGATATGCATGCGCCAATATCGAAAGGAACCAAGATCTTTGGGTTATAAACATGCATTTCAAGTATCATCAAAATCGGACCAAAATTGTAACCTCTAGAGGGTCCACAACCTTATACCAGATGTTTACACTATTTGCATACGAGGGGCGGCCATTTTGTCCGGCAGTTTTGGTCCTATTTTCACGAAATTCGAACTCAACCAACATTATGGTGTAACGGTGATATATTCAAACGTTTTTTGTTTTTTTAAATCGGATAATAATCATGACCTCTAGAGGGACCACAAGCTAAAAACGCGATTTTTCGTACAATCAGGGGCCATAATTCTGGAAGTTACGATCTGATATACGCGAATATCGAAAGGAACCAAGATCTTTGGGTTATAAACATTCATTTCAAGTTTCTTCAAAATCGGGTGAAAATTGTCACCTCTATATAGAGTGTCCACAAGCAATAATTTGCAAATGTTTTTTCATTAATTTAAATAAGCCACCGAACTATACATTATGCAAGGGCTAAATCTGCCTATTGCAGGCCTTTCTTTAGGTCTGGAATGTTATCTAAATTATGAATTAGACATTAATTAATTTATCCATACCATAATCACCTCTAGATGCCATCATTACCTTGCAATATTTAGTGGATTTGAATACATTTTTTGATGGATAATTTAACGTAAAAATGGATAATCGAGACTTTGTTTATTATCGTACCAACGTTAGTAATGACAATCGAGACAGCCTTCCATTGAATCGCTAATAATTCGGTTCAGGGTGAAGCAATCTGACCTGAAATTAATTTTCAGCATATTCTGTTTTCATTATCTATTTATTAACGTTATAGCCAGAACTGCCAGCTCTTTGTCTAATCATACCTAATACCCCTTTAATGGTGCTATTTATTTTATATTTGGTGTAGTATTTAATGATGGTATTTTATAAATGATTGTTGCGTTATTTGGGAAAAATTCTTGAAAATACCATAATTTTCTAGACTGGTCCACTGCCTTCCGGAAAACTCTTTATTGTTTTGGCAAGTTTTTAACTAAAAATCAAAACAATGTAAGACACCCATTGCAATGCCGGGTTGAGCCATACCTAAAAAAATAAGGCGTGTTATTCGTATGAACAAATTATTTAGACCAACTTGTTGTTATTTAAGTATCTACCCATATCATGGAAACCATCCCAGGGATAATAAAATTCGTCATTCAATAAAATATTTGTACGCATTTTGTGAAAAATCTACCAGTTGGTTTGTATTTTCGACATGTAGGCTACCATTTAAACCGATATTGTGTAATAAAAAAAAGTTATGATAACGATAAGAGAATACTTGTCGAAACGTTGTGTTATATGTGTATAAACCAGTGATTGTATTCCATATAAATTGTGTTGTGTTTTTTAATCGATTTTTAATGTGCTCAATCACTAAATGCCACTCAAGGACGATATTGTGAAATTTTTTGGCGTGGGTTAAATGCCTCCAAAACAGTTAATTGGAACTTAAATAGTTAAAAGGGACGAGCCAAACTGGTGGAAATTCATTGGAATACGCCCCTGGAAGATTGGACAGGGATTATTTTAACATTGGAGTGAACAGGAAAATAATTACTAGTCTGATCCCACTTTTTTATACGGATTTCTCTCCCCTACATTTGTTGGTAATGATATAAGAGTCCCCAAATAATTTCTTGATTTCTTGTTTTTACTGAACACACTTTCTTTTTGCAGGGCAAGAATTCGTTTTAAGCCCGTATTGTTTGGTATCAAAAGGAACTATTAAAAGATGGAATATAGGCCTAGTGATAGGACAAGGACTGTCAATATAGTTTTTCACTGATATAAGCGGACAAGCATGGCTGCCCTTGTAAGAGCAGTTCAGGTAAATATTCTCCTTGTCTGTACAACGAGTGAAAATATCAGAAAGTTTACGGTACCCTGGCTTGACATTGTTAAAAGAGCTAAATCTCTAATATTTGGAAAATAGTAATTGACACAAATAGGTAGCAACGCATATAATAATGTAATATGAATGTATATAATTTATAAACTGATTTACATTCAATCGTTTCTGTTTTTACTCTAATTTCAAATCAGTTATGTTCGGCTAAATATAGGCCTACACCACAGGAGTCTGACCTTCTATCCGTATATATATGCATACACCATGTCCAATCAGACAATATATGTATTATATATTGTCTGGTTGGGCATGGTGTATATATACGGATAAAAGGTCAGACTCCTGTGCCTACACCAGAAGTGTCAATCGAATGGCAATCTCTAGCATCTACACCGATAGTATTTATTGTGCATGCTCTCCAGATAAGAATATGGCCTCACTGTTTGACAAGACTTGTGGAATATGTCTAGTCTCATTCTTCGAGTCCCTTATTACAAATGGCGCTGAAATGCATATGTACACGATTCGTATACCAATGGTAAAATGTTTATTTTTGTCTTAAATATAGGATATCCGAAGCCCATTCTTTTCTCGATACGATAACAACACCAATGTTGATTTAAATTGACAAATAATTTGTGTTTTCAATGTCAAAGACTTTGGCTGATACTGAGTTAGAGACTTAAATTAGCTACTTTAAGATGCACTCTTGGCACGCGATCTCTTTCACACAACTAGAATTTCCCGATAGTCGTTAAACGTACTTTTACTTAGAGAACCCACAGGGCCTATTTACTACTGTCTGAACAGTCGTAAATTTTAAACAGATTTCTTCGATTATGAACAAACTACTTAACTTTGGTTATTATAAAATTTACCACGGTTCAGACAGTAAAAATAGAATTAATGCTAAAAAATGGTATGAACCCGGCCCGTTAGTCATGCTTATAAAACTTATCCTTTTGTTTCAAGTAACCTCTGTTGAAATAAAATCCTTTATAAAATTGCATACAAGATTTCTTGTGAAATATAAGACTCCTTGCACCGATTGGGGTAGGACTACATGTAGATCATTATGTAAAAAGGAGGCAGATAGCATTCAATAGCCTATATCTATTTAAACCGTCTGTGGCACTTTTACTTAAATACAACAGTAGTATTTGTTTGTTTATTTCCGGTAGGCACACAAGGGATTGTCTATCCCTTCAAAGCCATTTCCAAGAGTAGAGTTTTCTTCCATTTTGTTGTTGCTAGAACAAGACCATAACAACAGAAAATCAATCTGACAGACAGAAACACATAGGATACTGGTATTCAAAATCAGATTTTTGTGCGGCCTTTACCTGCAAAAACAGTTGTTATCATCCAGGAATATTGTGTTGATCATCACCATTGTTTCCTTTGACACAATTGACATATAAATGCTGATACATTAATAGTAGTAAAGTCTTAGTAAGGATTAAAGATACATAATGGGAGATTAGATAAAGAGCTGGCTGGTCTCACTATAATAGTTAAAAACTAGATAATGAAAAGGGAATTTGCTGAAAATTTCAGTCAAATTAATCAACTCTGAACCGAGATTTTAGCGATTGAATTTTCGGCCTAGCCTCAATCATCATTACTAAAGTTGGTACAATAAAAAGCATAGTCTCGATTATCCATTTCATGATTAAATTGTGAATGGAAGTCGAACTGCAAATCGAAACCTAATCCAATAAACATCTCAGGCTAGCAATGACATTGAGAGGTAATTATGGTCTGGATAAGTTAATTAATGTCTAATTAATAATTTAGATAACATTTCAGGCCTAAAGAAAGACCTGCAATAGGCAGATTTAGCTTTTACATACTGTATGTTTAATGCATGAAAAAACTGTTTTAAGTACCGGTATGGTACCAATACAAAAATACAATATATGCTATATGCATTATCTTTTCAGTTGAAAATATTACAACAACAAACGCAAGCAATATGGATGAGTCAGAGAGGAATGACCTCAAATTCCAAAAGGAAAGGTTTTTCATTAAAATCCATGCGTCGTCTACAGCAAGATTATGACATCAGTTATACAGGACTGAACAGATTTCTTCAGAAAAAATTATGGGAGGAGTTTGAGAAATCTGAAAGGTTTGAAATTATCTGATAATATATGTTTGAGAAATTTGTTTGGTTTGAAGTTATCTGAATAATTTTTGTATTGTTATCAGAATAATTCAGTGGGATTGAGAGTTTACAGGACTTGTGCTTGATCCAGCCAAGATTTGTAAAATAGTGTTCATTTTCATTCTAATGCCAGTAGATTTTTGTATACTACATGGAACTAACCTTTCTGCTTACAATTCTGTATCAACTATTGTAATTTCAATATTCTATGCTAAGTAGCCTACTTCCAATAATTTGTCACATAATAATTGTATCAAAAAACATACAGAATGTGCTGGCTATTTTCCTACCACGAGTATACCATTGGGTAACATTCATCTCATGCAGATTTTCCTCTTCATTAGTTATGTATTTTTGTTTTCCAGTTTTATTCCTGAAAGACACCAATTTCTTGGACCAGATCTTGCTACAGCTCATTTCGTCGTTGCAAGGGAAGGTTCTGTTAAATTTGTCGGAAACGACCGTTGGTTTAAGGAAGATGAAAATAAAAATAACTTTCTTCCAAATCGCCCTGTAATGGATATGTATTTAGAGGCCATAAATTGTTCCAACACAATGATTTCTTATAGAGGACTAGATAATTTCAGTAAGTATCAATGTACATGTATATGAATTTGTCAATTTGTAAATGATTCTATTAATGACGCATTATGTGTTAGATTTAGATAAAGAGCTGACAGTTCTTGCTATAATAGTTGAAAAGTAGATAATGAAAAGGGAATATGTTGAAATTTTTTTGTGAAATTACTTCATTTTGAGCGGAGTTATGGTCGTTTGAAGAACAGCATAGTCTTGATTATCATTCCTACCATAAATTTTAATTCTATTTCATCTTATTTCTAACATTTAGATACAAAATATCTTCTTCATTGACACTTTACATATTTAGCATGAGCATCGATCAAATTTAGAATTTTACACTTCTACCTAGCAACCATCACTATGAAGTCATTTGGTGTCACCACTATATGCTCAATTTGGTGACTGAGGACCTGGTCAGAACCATTACTATGATATAAATAACTCGCTCTTAGTCCGGTTGAATGGTTGGACAGAGTGTTAAATTGGAAGACAACTTGGATCATGATATATAAATACTATGTCAAATAGGCTTTACAAAATTTTTTGATTTATTTAAAGACAAGTGCAGAATTTGGAGAATTTTATTTTATTTTATTTTTTTTACAGTGGAGCCAATTAATATTTATATACTGTTGATTTGTATTCTATTACTGCTCTAACAAGAATGTCACTTTATAATGATCAAGATGTTTTTGAAATGGTTCAAAGATATATTTAAAAAACCCATATTGAGGGGATGAAACAGCCTTTAAAGTAGACCGCAGGGGGGTAAAAAAAATTTGAATCCATTAGCCCGGCATTAATTTCCGCTAGTCTATAGCTGGACAAGGTACAAGATTTAATCTTCAATATTTGGGTATATGTTATGTTTCCTGACTACCTATCTTTTTTGATATAGATCGTAGACTTGACTGCCGATATTAAACCAAAATGCACCGACTGGGCTAATGAAGATGGACTAACGCCATACATAGTGCTATGATGGAAATTTAGCCCGGACGGCGGCGCCACGGCCTACTCTTATTGCAAGTTCTAGCTGCCAATGGTTTTCGTACAATCCGAACGACTAGACACTGCCCTTGCTATACAATAACGGCGGTCTTTGCAAATCACAGGGATGAAACTAATAATGTCAAAAATATTATAAAGCTTATTTTTGCCAGTAGTTATACTAGCTGATGATATGTAACCCATAGAAATATATTTCTATGATATAACTGTCAATTGATACAGAATGGGGGGTGGGTCTCAACTGTAAAAAGAGTCAAATAAAATTCTCCAAATCATACACTTGACTTCAAAATAAAAAAAGAACAAATGTTGTATAGCCTATTTGACATAGCATTTCGCAAATGTATATAAAGTTCCATGTTGTTTCCAATTTCAACATCCCATCCAACTATTCAACAAGAGAAAGAGAGAGTCATTTATATCAACATAATGGTCCCGATCAGGTGCTCAATCACCAAATTGAGCGCGTAGTGGTGACACCAAACTACGTCATAATAATGGTTGCTAGGGAGAAATGTCAAAATTCTAAATTTGTTCGATGTTCATGCTAAAAACTTGTAAAACATCAAAGACATTTTTCATCTTAATAATAGAAATAAGATGAAATAGAATTAAAATATAGCAGAACATTAACAAATTTAGAATTTTGAATCTAATATACTGCCATATTTAACGGCAGCCTCTGTGAAATGCATTATCTAATCCACTCAATATCCAAGCCAGCCGGTAGTCTAGAGAGTTGATTATTGTTGGTTTGTCATGTGAATTAATGTCTAAATAGTTTATCTAACATTTGAGATGAAGCCAGAAAAACACCCTGCAATAGGCAGATTTATCTCTTGCATAATGGCCCTTTAATCATCAAGTATTATTATGATTCACCTTGCAACTGACTAGAGATTACATTTAGTAATTATCTGACATAGTTAAATTGATTATTTATTTCAGTTGATCTAGAGTACTTGAAATATCTTAATTTTAGTAATTGTGATTATGTTGACGACTGGTTTTTGAGTCGACTTCATCAGTTTAGTGAAACTTTGGAATTTTTAGACATCAGTGGCTGTAAGAATGTAACAGACAGAGGTCTTGAATGTCTTCATATTTTAAAGTAAGTTGATTTGAAAGAGTGAAAAGGCCAATTAAAATTTAGATGGATTTGGTATGGTCGTAGTGCTTTCCACCCGTAATCCTAATAAATTTAGGTTTATGTACTCTTTATTGTTTAACCATGTTGTCTTTATATTCGACTAATGAGCTTCAGTATATCACTGTTGGGCATCTTTTAGTCCTCAGCCTAAAATAGTGAGGTCTCAGTGTACTACTGACAGCATTGGTAGTAACAGTTTGATACACTACACATCAATGTTTAAAATACCATGACTAAGTTTGATAATGAGCATTTTCGGCTCAGAGTAAGCAGAGCAATATGCAATTCGATTGGTCAAGACTTTGGAGCTCGACAACTTTGATTTTAATTGAGTGATAGTGGTAAAACTTCATGTATAGTTTCATTACATCAATACCTTAACAAAGTTCGATGCTCAGCATTTTCTGCTTAGGCAAAGTAGAGACTTTGATCTGATTGGTCGAGACTTTGGAACACACTAATTCTCCTTCTAATTGAGGTAGAATGTTCAAACTTGGTGTAGGTGTCTATTAGGTGAATGCCTTGTCAGAGTTCTGTCATGCGCATTTTCCACTAAGCAGTGCTCACTCTGGGTTCCATTTTTTTCTGCCAATTGTTCATTTTTATTTATTAGCCATATTTTTTTATGCCAAAAAAGAGAACAATATTAGCTTTTTTCATTAATTTTTATTTATGTAAGTACAGTGCACTCTGTCACATCCGACCTCTGATCACTCTGGCATTCTGTTACATCCGACACCATTTTCATGTCCCGATTTATTTCCTTATTACTTCAGTCAAAAAATCTCTGGGTAATTCGACCTCTGTACGTTCCAAATTACGACATCAATCAGCCGCCCCGTCATACGATTTCCATTGAATCGACACCGTATAATCCGGCCTTCATATGATATAATAATTTACAAAATTCTTCTCTGCTTTGCAGAAGCCCATTTTTTGAAAGCTTTTTAAACATCAGGGGTAATCACTTTTCCACAAGGATTTGAACATTTTCTCTGCCACAGACTTTTGTGGTAGGCCTACATGCATACCTAAGACTAAGCAGAGCTAAGCAATTTGATAGGTTGAGACTTTGGAACATGATCACTTTAGTTCCAATTGGGTGAGAGTGATGAAAGTATAGATTCATTATATCATTACCTTGACTAAGTTCGATAATGAGAATTATCTACTTAGGCTAAGTAGCGATGAGCAATTTGATTGGTCAAGACTTTGTAACATAACAAATCTGCTTTTAATTAAGGTAGAATGTTTAAACTTGATGTAGATGTCTTGACTGAGTTCAAGGATTAATATTTCCCGTTAAAGCTAAGCAGGGCTAAGTAATTTCATTGGTCGATGCTTTGGGAGAAAATAACTTTGATTCTAATTGATAGAGAGTGATGAAACTTAGTGTATAGTTGATAATCAGTTTGATTGTCCGATACTTTTGAGAGCTATTTTAAAGGAGCTAAATCCCTAACATTTGGGACCTAGAAATTGACAAAAGTGGGTCGCAACGCATATAATACTGTAATATGAATGTATATAAACTGATTTACATTCAATGGTTTCCGTTTTTACTCCAAAATTCAAATCAGTTATGTTCGGCGAAATAAGCCAGCAGTTTCAAGCGAGTGCAAATTTCTAGCATCTGGTTATTCCAGTCTACATACGCCGTTTGATTTGGTGCAATGTGTGTAGCCTCGTCCCTCGAGTCTCTTGATACAACTGGGGCTGAAGCGCATTATGGTACACGATTCGTGTACCAATGGTAAAATGTTTATTTTGTCTTAAATATTGGCTATCAAAAGCCCATCTTTTCCTGTTAAGATAACAACATGAATGTTGATTTAATTTGACAAATAAATCGTGTTTTCAATGTTGAAGATTTTGGATGATATTGAGTTAGAGACTTAGCTACTTTAAACTAAATATTTGAAAGACTCATCATTTTCATTAGCCAAGAGCTAGTCTGTGTATATGTATTCCCCCCCCCCCCCCCCATCTTCATGTTTTTATGCATGCCATTTATCCTCAATTTTTATTTCTTTCTTCATAACAGCTGCTACCATCACAAACTTCAAAGTGTTATTATTTTTGTCTAGAATTTTGTTTGTTTTTTTCTTCATAACAGCTGCTACCATCACAAACTTCAAAGTGTTATTATTTTTCTCTTTCAGAAAATTACAAGGCTTAAAATTGAGTGATATGGATCATGTAGAAAATTTGGATTTAATTGTTTTATTCTTACAAGAACGGTTCCCAGATTGTGTAATACTTGGTATAGATTCAAAACCTCAAAAACAAATAGAAACAGACGTTAAACCTCAAATAATAACAGAAAAAGACTCTGGTACTAAACCTCATTTACAAATTGAACCAGAACCTGAAATCCAACAAGCTAAAGAATCAACATAATTTGTGACAAGAGACTGTTTCAAAATTTCAACACTTGCATCCAAACAAAGATCCTGTGGAACTGGTTGGATGGGTGGAACGACACCTCACATAGTAAATGATAATTAAATGTTGAATCATTTACTCTTACTCTTGAGATTTATCCACAGGATATTCCTTTGGATGTAAGAGTTAAAAGTTTACGACTGTCCCTAAAAATGTTTTTTTTGTTTATTAAGGACAGAATTTTATTAAATTGTAGTGGGTTATCTCCTTTGTGCTTTGTATCAGCAGTTGAGAGCTCTCCATATTTGGCCCCCACCTTACGAAGAAAGTGGGAGACTATTAAAATGGATTTGTCTGTCTGTCTGTCCGTCCATCACACTTTTTGGGACACAATAACTCTCCTAATTGAGCTAGAATGTTCAAACTTGATGTAGGTGTTTATTTGGTCAATGCCTGGATGAGTACTTTCTGCTGAGGGTAAGCAGAGATAAGCAATTTGATTGGTTGATGCTTTGGGACACGATAACTTTAGTTCTGATTAAGTGAGAGTGATGAAACTTGGTGTATAGTTTCATTACATCAATACCTCGACTAAGTTCGATAATGAGTATTTTCTGCTCAGGGTAAGCAGAGCGATAAGCAATTTGATTGGCCGAGACTTTGGAACACAATAACTCTTCTTCTAATTGAGCCAGAATGTTCAAACTTGGTGTAGGCATTCATTGGGTGAATGCCTTGATCTAGTTTGATGATGAACATTGTCTGCTTACGGTAAGCAGAGATAAGCAATTTGATTGGTTGATGCTTTGGGACACGATAACTTTAGTTCTAATTAAGTGATGAAATTTGGTGTATAGTTTTATTACATCAATACCTTGACTAAGTTTGATAATGAGCATTTTCTGCTCAGGGTAAGCAGAGCGATAAGCAATTTGATTGGTCGAGACTTTTGAACACAATAACTCTCATTCTAATTGAGCTAGAATGTTTACACTTGGTGTAGGTGTTAATTAGGTGAATGCCTTCATGAAGTTCGAAGATGAGAATATTTTGCTTAGGGTAAGCAGAGATAAACAATTTGATTAGTTGATGCTTTGGGACACAATAACTTTAGTTCTAATTAAGTGAGAATGAGGGCACATGGTGTATAGTTTTATCATATCAATACCTTGACCAAGTTTGATAATGAGCACTTTCAGTGCAGGGTAAGCAGAGCGATAAGCAATTTGATTGGTCGAGCCTTTGGAACACAATAATTCGTCTTCTAACTGAGGTAGAATGTTCAAACTTGTGTAGGCGTTCATTAGGTGAATACCTTGATCTAGTTTGATGATAAACATTGTCTGCTTACGGTAAGCAGAGATAAGCAATATAATTGGTTGATGCTTTGGGACACAATAACTTTGGTTATAATTAAGTGACAGTGATGAAACTCCGAGCATAGATTCATTACACCATTGCCTTGACTAAGTTCGATGATGAGAATTTCTGCTTAGGCTTTGGAACATAACAACTCTGCTTTTAATTGATTGAGGTAGAATGTTTAAACTTAATATAGATGTCTTGACTGAGTTCAATGATTAACATTTCGAGCTAAAGCTATGCAGAGCTAAGCAATTTCATTGGTCGATGCTTTAGGACAAGATAACTTTAATTCTATCTGATAGTGAGTGATGAAAATTAGTGTATAATTGATAATCTGTTTGATTGCTTGATACTTTTGAAAAAAATGAATTTGCGATAAATTAATGTGTCATCTATTTATTTTGGGATTTTGAGGGGGACAGCAGCCTCACTGTTGGCTTGTTTCTACTGATTGTGAACAAATCAACTGTTTTTCAAAATTCAAAGTTGGATATATGTCTTTCCAAACCTTCATAGTTTCTTAATCCACCAGTTAAAATATTATTTATGATACAACTTGTCTTTTATTGATGCCTTATGGATTTGTATTGGTGTCATATAGTGTATTGTTAGTGAGTTTGTGTTGACCTAACCCAAGATTTAACCTAATCTCAATGAACATTCAATATTCATAAGCCGACTTAAAACTCTATCAACAATAGAAGCAGAACAATTACTCAAGATTTGATTAGTGTTTTACAATCAGGTAACATTTATAGTAAGAATAAAACTTATAGAGGTAAAATCAGCATAAAACATTTTATCTTTGTTCCCTTACCGATAAATCTGCTGCATTGACCGAATACCTAAATGAACATAATTGTGATATTATGTTCATTACTGAAACGGGGCTTAACTCTTATACATGTGGTCCAGTTGTCAATGAACTAAAAACGTTAGGTTACAACCGTTGGAATAGTATCCAAAATTGGGATTCCCGTTGAACTGAAAAAATGCCAATCATTTAACTCTTTTGAAAATGTTGAAATAACACCGAATCAATTAGGCTTGTTTGTATCGATAGGCCACCATTATCTAAAAAATCTGTATGTTCGATCTCTGATTTCCTTTCTGATGTTAGTTCTTATTATGAATATTTGATACTCAAACCAGGAAAAGTACTCATTGCTGGTGACTTCAACATTCATCTGGATTTACCTACAAATTCTCTTGCAATCCAATTCCAAGATTTTATCCAGTCCTTTGGCTTAGTACAACATGTTATCAACCCAACCCATAATCTTGGTCATACTTTAGACTTGTCATGTTGCAGTGAACTGGATGTCCAAAACTTGTGGATAAATGACCCATTTCTCAGTGATCACTATGCTATTCATTTTATGGTTGATGTGATCCAGCTGAGGCAACCGCTCATTCTATCATAAAAAATAGAAAGATCAAATGCATTGATCAAATCAAGTTCGCAGGTGATATAAAAGAATCATGTCTGTTAACATCTTCACTTTCAACTTTTGGACAAAATGAACTGCTTCATATATATATATATATATATAACAGCAAAACATCCACAATATTGGATCAACATGCACCCATCATCACAAGAAACATGGCGATTAAGCCACAGAATCCATGGTTTAATGACTAAAATAGGGATGCCAGAAAAATACGATCTGATATATTACAAAGAAAATCAAATGTTCAACCTGTACCGTCATATAGAAGCAAATCAACAACATTGTGGTCATCATTCACCAATCTGACTCAAACGCAAATTAAGCTCATATCATATCAGAAAGCTCTTCTAAAATGTGATCTAGACCTACACATCTATTGAAGAAACACATCAATCTATTTGTACCTATCATATCTGAATCGCTTTCATCTGGTCACATTCCCACGGAACTAGCAAAAGCCATCGTTAAACCATTACTGAAGAAATCAAACAGGGATCCAGATATTCTGTCGAATTACCGTCCAGTCAGTAACATTTCTTATATTTCAAAACTACTAGAAAAGTTTGTTCTACATCAAATAAATAATTATATTTATTCCAATTAACATCCATTACAATCTGCCTATAAACAATACCACAGCACAGAAAGTGATTTACTCAAAATCACAAACGATATCTACCGAGCTATAGATCAACAGAAATATGTTATCTTGGTACTCTTAGATATCTCAGCCGCTCGATAACGAGGATCTCCTTGATGCATTATGGTGAGAAATTGGCTTGCGTGGCTCTGTCTTAACTGGTTTAAGTCATATCTAACCAATCGCACCCAAGCTGTCAGAATTAGAGGAGATTCAACATCATTTGTTCCAGACACTTTGCAATATTGTAACACATTGAAGTGTATAAAAGGAAATGAAATGGGGTTTAAAGTCCTACTGGTGTACAAAAGGATATTGAGAAAAATGGGGTTTAACGTCTATGAGACAGAGCATAAAATAAATGAAACGAGCCAACAGTGAGGCTTTTGTCCCCCGCCGAAATTCGAAAAATAAAAAGATGATACATATTAATTAATCGCACATTTATTTTTTTCAAAAGTATCGAGCAATCAAACCATACACTCAGTTTCACCAATCTCTATCAGATAGAATCAAGATTATCTTGTCCCAAACCATCGACAAATGAAATCGATTAGCTCTGCTTATCGTCAGCTCGAAATGTTAATCATTGAACTCAGTCAAGACATTCACCTAATGAACATCTACATCAAGTTTAAACATTCACCTAATGAACATCTACATGAAGTTTAAACATTCACCTAATAGACACCTACACCAAGATTGAACATTCTACCTCAATTAGAAGGAGAGTTTTTGTGTTCCAAAGTCTCAACCAATCAAATTGCTTATCACTCTGATTACCCTCAGCAAAAAATGTTCATTATCGAACTTAGTCAAGGTATTGATGTAATAAAGCTGTACACCAAGTGTCCTCACTCTCATTTAATTAGAACTAAAGTTATCATGTCCCAAAGCATCAACCAATCAAACTGCTTATCTCTGCTTACCCTAAGCAGAAAATTCTCATATTCGAACTCCATCAAGGCATTCACCTAATAGACACCTACGCCAAGTGTGAACATTCTAACTCAATTAGAATGAGAGTTATTGTGTTCCAAAGTCTCCACGAATCAATTTGCTTATCTCTGCTTATACTAAGCCGAAAATGCTCATCTTTTCACTCCTTCAAGGCATTGACTTAATAAACACCTACACCAAGTTTGAACATTCTGGCGCAATTAGAAGAAGAGTTATTGTGTTCCAAAGTCTCGGCCAATCAAACTGCTTATCGCTCTGCTTACCCTGAGAAAATACTCATTATCGAACTTAGTCGAGGTATTGATGTAATGAGAGAGAAATGGGGTTTAAGGTCCACTCGACACAAACTAGGTCATTTCGGGACCAACATATGGTCCAATTTTATTTACATAATTCGCTTGCGTGTAGGGGTCTTTAGCAGTGGGAGGAAACCGGAGGACCCGGAGAAAACCCACGAGGTTGGACAGGCGACCCTACTCCTTGCCACGTACAACCGGGGATTCGAAACCACGCCAGTCGACTCAATGACAGACTTTATGATACAGCGCACGCACGCTAACCATTCCGCCATCCAACCCCCCTTGATGTAATGAAACTATACACCAAGTTTCATCACTCTCACTTAATCAGAACTAAAGTTATTGTGTCCCAAAGCATCAACCAATCAAATTGCTTATCTCTACTAACCCTAAGCAGAAAATGCTCATAATCGAACTCCATCAAGGCATTGGCCTAATAAACACCTACACCAAGTTTGAACATTCCAGCTCAATTAGAAAGAGAGTTATTGTGTCCCAAAAAGTGTGACGGACAGACAGACAGATGGACGAATCCATTTTAATAGTCACCTGCTTTCTTCGAAAGGCGGGGGAGAATGAAATGAAATGGGGTTTAACGTCCTACTGTTCAGCTCCGAATTGGGCTAATGAAGACGAGCATACGCCAATGTGCTGTGAGGGAAATTTTGCCTGGACAGCGGAACTACGGCCTTTTCTTATATCGAATTCTAACTGTCAAGGGATCTTTTACGTGCACGCCAATGTGTTCACGGGACCTCGGTTTTTCGTCCTATCCAAACGACTAGACCGTTGTCTTTGTCAGGCCCTCCGTCCTGAATCACTGACAAGGGGAAACCACGCCGGAAAATTGGGATGAACTTTCTCGACCAATGCAGGGATCTAACACCCGACCTCTAGGTTAGCGAGCCAGCGTCTTACCCACTTAGCCGCGTGATCCCCCTCACGAAATTCGAACTCAACAATCATTAGTGTATAACTGTGATATATTCACGCGTTTTTTTTTTTTAAATCAGATAAAAATTGTGACCTATATAGGGACCACAAGCTCAAAACGCAATTTTTCGTACAATAAAGAGCCATAATTCAGGAAGTTTCGATTCGATATACGCGAATATTGAATGGAACCAAGATCTTTGGGATATAAACATGCATTCCAAGTTTCATCAAAATCGGATGAACATTGTGACCTCTAGAGGGTCCACAACCTTGATATATCATATTTTTACACAAATTGCGTCCAAACGGTGGCCATTTTGTCCGGCAGTTTTGGTCTGATTTTCACGAAATTTGAACTCAACCATCATTAGGGTGTAACGGTGATGTACAAAAACTTTTATTTTTAAATTGGATAAAAATTGTGACCTCTAGAGGTACCACAAACTAAAAACGCAATTTTTCATACAATCAGGGGCCATAATTCAGTAAGTTCCGATCCGATATGCGCGAATATTGAAAGAACAAAAGATATTTGCGTTATAAACATGCATTTCAAGTTTCATCAAAATTGTGACCTCTAGAGTGTCCACAAAGTAAAAACGTGATTTTTCGTCCAATCAGGGGCCATAATCCATGAAGTTATGGTCCGATACATGCCAATATCAACAGAATCCAAGATCTTTGGGAGATAGACCTATATTTCAAGTTTCGTCAAAATCAGATAAAAATTGTGACCTGTAGAGTATCTACAAACAAATTGTGGACGAACGGACGGACAGGGGCCACGACAATATACGTCCACATGAAAATGTGGGCATATAAAAATGCAGTAGCCTAGTTTGTGATCTTGCAATATCAGCACGCATTGAAAACAGATTGAAGAGGGGCCTACGCGACGTACTGACTGTGTTCTCCAATTTCTATGAATCTATTCCCTATCCAATCAAAAAGTTTTATCAGGTGGCCTGTTGTACCTGTTGTACGTTAATGTCTGTCTGCACATGAGCAGAAATGGTATTCTCAAAAATCGCATTGAGAGACCCGAGTTCTCAAACAGTGTGTGAATAAGGATTAAAAAAAGAAACCGGAGACCAGTAAGGATTTTGTACTGTTTATTCTTTTTATAGCCCCTATTATGTGAGTCTTATATTACCGGTACCTCTAAATAGCAACTGAAATATAAAAGTTATATTTCGGTTGCCGTGCATGTGGCAATTTAGATAAAGAAGAGTGGTAAGGATTTCGTACTGTTTATTCTTTCCTTTTTAAGCCCACAAAGAGTCTTTTATTACCAGTACGTCTAAATAGCAACAAGCACGACAACCGAAATAAAACTTTTGGTGACTATTTAGATGCACCCTGTGTCAAGCAAAATAATGATTTGTTCACAACTGAGACGTATTGAACAGATATCGAAAACTCCAGTATCAGCAAAATGGCCGTGTATCGGCCGATACCGATTTCTCCCAATAGGCCAATTACCGATGTTGAAACCGATTATAACCATCACTACTTCAAACACTCTTATAACTTCACTCAGAATAAAGTAAATTGACTAAAATTTTAAATATATTCATTATTTTTTAACTATTATAACAGCTCTTTATCTGAATATTATATAAATGCATCTTAAAAACCACAAACAACAAGCTTTACGTTTTGAATAAGACTTTATTTTGGTCAAGTTTACAGGAAAAAGTAATGTAGATATTTTTTTCCGCTGATTGCTTCCTGTTGGTTATGTAACTAGGCAACTAAAATAAGGTATAATTAACCTCTAAAAGTGTGCACTTGATTGGGGAATTATACCCGCACAAGAGGGGACAGAATTTACTTCCGTCTAGACTCTAGACTACATTTCCATGTTCCCATCCAATCAATGCAGATTTTCTGTTCTGCATGAATATAATTTTATCTTTCACAAATACTTAGCAGTACTTGAAATAACAACAACACTACATATTTAACAAAGACAGGTTGCCAAGCAACTAAACAAAGACTACAATGTAAATAAAAAGAAAATTCTTTATAATGTATAACACCATTGGCAGGTTCACAAGATTTTAGGAAACTATATTATCAGAAATTATTCCAATTGTGATTCATCGCAATAATCAAAAGATAGGTTGCTAGACAACGAAACATACGCCCATAGCAGCTAAATCGTCCGTGCAATCGACAAGGGTTGTCAGACATTTATTCTTTTGTTGATAATTGGGGGCATTGATTTACAAGACAATTTCATACAGATTAGATTATAATTTTCATCGTTTGAGGGTTCACAAGGTTCTGCAAACTGAAACAAGGGCCTTAACTCTGGAAGTAATTTACAGAAATTGTTGAAATTTGACCAGCTTTTTAGTTTTACTAATTCAAATAATGTATATAAATTTCGTCCAGATCAGATTACAACTTTTGTCATTTGAACGTTCACAAGTTCAACAAAGTAAAACAAGGGCCATAAATTTAGAAGTAATTGACAGAAATGGCTGGAATTCAATAGGCTTCTTCATTTCACTAATTTAAATAATGCATATAAAAATTTCATACAGATAGGATGATAACTTTCATCATTCAAGCGTTCACAAGGTTCAACAAGGGCCATAATTCTACAAATAATTATTTGAAATTGCTGAAATTCAATAAGATTCTTCGTTTCAGGAATTTAAATAATCCATTTAAATTTCGTACAGATCAGATGATAACTTTCGTCATTCGAATGTTCACAAGGTTCAACAAGGGCGGTAACTCTAGACATAATTATTGTCAGTAATTTAAATGATCTGTTTAAATTTCATACAGATCAGATGATAACTTTTCTCGTTAGACAGAAAAATTAATGGAAATTATTGAAATGTAAACAACATATATCAATTTCAAAACAATCAGATGATAAATGTAGTCTTTAGAGGGTTTACAAGAAATTGTGGACGAAGGATGTTTGTACGGACGGGGGCGATGAAAATATGTAATCACATTTCCATGTTGGTGTATAAGCATAGGCCAAGTAGAACAGATGACGACTTTGCTATTAAAAGCATTCAACAGGGGCCATAACTTTACAAGTAAAAACATAGGCCAAGTAGAACAGATGATGACTTTGCTATTAAAACCATTCAACAGGGGCCATAACTTTACAAGTAATTAATGGAAATTGTTGAAATTCAATAGGTACCTTAATTTGTTTCATTTGAATACCGAGTAATGAATACAAGTTTACAACTTGTGATGTTAGAGCATTCACAAGATTCTACAAAATGAAGCAAGGACAATAACTCTACAAGTGATTATATAGAGTGCTCATATTGTGGATGAAAGACAGGCCAACAGATGGATGGTGGTGACATTTCAATGTGATAGAAAAAAATTGCACTCTAAATACAACAAACTAACTAAAAACAAAACCAAGTTCTTGTTAAAGGGCTTATTATAACTCAATAAAAAATATTAAGAACCACTTTTAAATGAACACGTCCATGGTTGGCAAGGGCCATCGAATGTGTAACTAACCCCGTTTAATTTTTGGGTAGTATAAATGGGTTAAACATAATCGTGCCAATGTGGCCCACTGACGTGTAAACACTATCCGGTCTAAGAACCGTACACAGTACAGATCACTGCGCATGCGTCAAATAAACTTTGTCTTTTTTTTCCGCAAACTTTGACAGTTCTGTCAAAATGGCCACCCAAACTAAATCAACCGCAATAAAATGTTCTCATCCCAGTAATTTACAAAGGGACTGAAATTAACTTTTCTGTGAAGAGTTTCATATTTGGCGTGCCTGGCACTGTTCCGAGACTGGTTATTGTACAGCAATGTGAACAGGTCAATTTCTTGAAACTTATCGTGGCCTGGTACCGTGCCGAGAATGGCACACTTATCACCTCCAAGTGTAAACGGGTTATCGAAAGGAAGGCATAAACCTAATCAAGGTTTATGTACAGGTACCAAATCATTTTTTTAGCATCAATGAAATTCAGTTACTCAGCACATGTACAATTATCTTGTACTCTTTTAAGAGGTATGCACAATTCATTACTATTCCACATTTCAAGTTCTTTTCTTGATAAACAATATAGCACACAAAACAAATCACAGATCTTGTTACACATGTTTTGGTAATTTCAGTTACATGAAACTCTTAAATGAGTTCTTACATAGTTTTATATTATTATATTAAACCGAGATTAATTCTTAATACTGTTGTTGATAATATGAACTGTAGTTATAATAATGGGGATTATAAGAAGAATAAGCACTATTCTGAAATACAAAATAGAAGTATGTAAGTAAATATTTAATATCATTATCAAACTTTTATAAGGGTTGCCAAACAAAAAAAAACATGCGTCTGTCTACCGGCAGTTTAGTCATTTAGAATGTTTATAAAACGTTGTCACCATTTTAATGTTTTGCAGATAAGAATTTGTTTCAGAATCCCAGAAAGTATAACATTTTGTTTTTTAAACTCTTACTTTAATAATTAACATGCAAGGCCTATTAAAACACTCTGGCCTGACTGACCTACTGGACACCTAATCAATCATCAGTAAGCTGGTTGCTATAAAAGCCTTCAATCAACCAGATTTCAACGATATCACCTCGGTGGAAGCGGACATTAAATAAAGCTATTTCACACAGATTTCAGCTTCCCTCTAAGTAAGATGTATTTGGTTAATTAGCATTAGCTGTAAATAACTGGTTGTAATTTAAATTTGTTAGCTGCATCTCACTTTTTGTGTCATACATTTATTAAGCTTTTAATGACAAGGTCAACAACTCTGCAGGTGATGACTGGATTTCGAAAGGGTTTCATATCTATGAGTATTTTAATAAACCCAATGTTGATTGTGCTAGAAATCCATATATACTATTCAAAAAAAGTAGGGGATATTTGATTTTGGGGGCATAATACTAAAATATGCAAATGACTACGAAAAAAGTCACTATAGAACCTAACAGAAGAAACATTTCCAGTTACATGTGACGCCCAAACGCACCAATAGCTACCGCATGGAATGCAGGTGATGCTTGGGATCATCATGGGGGTCCAACCCAAGATTTGCACGACTCTGACTTTGAATGTTACAGTCATTGTGGCATTGAATTCCAGGGTGGAAACATCAGTTTAATTGTTTTAGTGACCAGAAAACAAATTTTGATATGCGTCGGCTTACCCAAAATGAAAGGTTACGTGCCCTTGGCATGCTACAGATCGGCACAACACAGGCGGTTGTGGCGCGGACGATGAATGTTTCTCAGTCTGTCATAAGCAGGCTATGGTCCAGATACCGTGATACACAATCTGTACAGGACAGACCACGCTCAGGTCGACCAAGGGCGACAACTCAAGCCCAGGATCGATTTATCCGTACCTTGGCCTTGAGAAATCGTGTCATCACAGCAAATCAGATCAGCGCTCGTCTTCAAACAGACACTGGTGTGAGAGTGAGTGGCCAGACGATTCGGAATCGACTGCATAGGGGTCACCTTCGCGCCCGACGTCCTCGCGTGATCCCTTGTTTGAGAGATCATCACATTCAGGCAAGACGTCGTTGGTGTAGGGATCGTCAACACTGGGATAATCGACGCTGGAGCAATGTGATGTTTTCAGATGAGTCAAGGTTCACTGTTGATTTTTTGGACAGACGTAGGAGGGTGTGGCGTCGTCGAAACAAGCGCTTCCAAGACGTTAACGTCATCAGACATGATCGATTTGGGGGTGGTTCTGTTATGGTGTGGGGAGGCATCACTGTTGCTGGAAGAACGGCTTTACATGTTGTTGCAGGGCGTGTTACAGGCCAGTACTACCGGGACAACATCTTGGCAGTCCATGTTGTGCCGTTCGCACGACGTCATGGCCGCCGTTTCATCTTCCGGGATGACAACGCAAGATGTCACAGGGCCAGGATCGTTACAGGTTACCTCCAACAACAGAACATCACCACATTACCTTGGCCAGCACTGAGTCCCGACCTCTCCCCCATCGAGCATGTCTGGGACATGCTTGGACAGAGGTTACGTCAACGTCAACAACGTCCTGCCAATGTCCAAGAACTTGCTGCTGCGTTGCAACAGGAATGGGACAATCTGGACCAAAATGACCTTAGACGTCTCATTAGGAGTATGCCACGTCGGATCAATGCTTGTTTGGCAAACAGAGGAGGATTTACCCGTTACTGACTTGGTTGTGATGCTGTGGTAACTTTGCTGTTTGACCCCGGGTATCATTTTACCCTTATAATGGTCAGTCTGTGCCTTACTTAGTCTAACGATCATTTGGAATAAATCGATGAATGTGAACTTCATTTCATTTTGTCATTTGTTTCTTCGTCAGTTTCATTAGGTGACTTTAATAACACTTAAAAATCAAATATCCCCTACTTTTTTTGAATAGTATATATCCACAAGAAAAGTTACATCTTGTGACTTCAGACTAAGGTGTCCCTTATGGACTTGCAGTCTTTTGAGGTAACCCTTTCTATAGGTGCAGTATTTTGAGAAAACATTTATAATGCTAGATGGGAAGGGTAGATAAATATAGAGCACCATTAAAAATATCTTGAGTAATACATGTGACAAAGACAACACATAATATAGTTCTAGACAATTGTCATTAAGCCTCCTTCAGATCATTTTCAACCAGAAGAAAGCAATTTTGAAGACACAGATTTATAATGACTTACTGAATATGCATCCCAATGATAATCATAAGAACTGGGATCAGTAGTTGATGTGTGAGATTTAATCAAAGTATCACCAGTTGTTCCATTAGAAGATATTTCTGTTTTACTTTTCTTCTCTACAGAACCTTCACTGGAATAACAATTGGATAATTAATTGTCAGTTTCTCATGACCTAAGTTTGTGAAATATACATGCTACATGCGGTAATTATTGAGATGAAATTTAATTTTTTTAGTTTAATACTGTTTCTATTTCAGCAATAACTAATGTCAGTTACTTGGTCGTTGAAAACCCAACGGTAACCAGTGTCCGCGATTTATTCACATTTATTAAATATTTATAGATTAAAATAGCTGTATCACAATATAGCTGGGAATCGGAAGACTTGATCATAATAAAAAAGTTTAAATTATTAGTGATATGGTTCTAAGTTAACGGTTCGATAATTCATTCATTCTTGGCATTTCATTTCTTTATCCTTCCCTACTTTGACAGGTTATGAAATGACCTGTTCCAAACTGGTTGATGATTTGTTCTGACATAAATAATTAAAAGCATACCCTTGGATTTTTAAATACAAAATAAGTTAGATTATTTAACAGGTCAGTCAAAGAATTTACTACACACGTGGTCGTTTCTCTAGCCATGAGAGAAGATAGTAACAATGCCATGGCTATAGCCCGTATGTTAATTGGCATTAACGGAATGATACCACTGGGGATACCGACGATGAGAAAGAGCAGGCATACCTACAGCTTAAAAAATGAAAGATCCCAGATTTACAACAAATATAGACTACTATAAATGTCAATCTGTAGGAATTTCAATCTGAACAGTACTTTAACATACCTTGAATCAGCAGATCGTTTTCTACTATCACTAGTCATATCTTTCACTAGTTTCTGATGTTCATCATATGCCTCTGTTATTCTTAAATAACCAAAAAAATACAATTAATATTCCGCAAAACATGAAACTAATCGAAATATGTACATGACTAATATAAAGTTGCATAATCCCTCCCGTTTGTTTCAAATTGGATTAATAATAACCCTGATTTACACTTCAATAAAAACCTTGTAGACCACATACTGATCCTTGATTAAGCCAGTTATAAAGAAAAACACATTTTTGCCTCGGTGCCCTGCCACTGAAAACTTTTTGGCCTGGATGCCCCGATCATTGGCCTTGGTGCCCCTAAATTTGGCCAAAAACCCGAGGCCAAACTGACAGTGCCCTAAAAAGATTAGAATTCGAGGCCTGGAGTGACTCTATGCAGCCCAGTCTGATTGTATTCTATATATTTAATGGCACAGCCCAGCTTGACAAGTAGAATTACGTTCTAGCAAGGGATAAATGGGTGTTTAAAACTACAAGAACTACAAGATTAGACAAATACTCTACTCCTTGACACACACATTTATGGCATTAGATTCATGGCATGTAGGGATGACAGAACTGTGGTCTGCACGCACAAAACATTTGGGGTTTGGACAATTCAGATTACGTCAGGTAAAACTAAGACAAACCAAAAGTTTATATCTTTGACAATTTTGTATACATACACTTTGACACAGTTACCAAAATCTTCAAGAAATTCCATTCTTCTTTGTGATAATTTCACTTTTGATGTTTTAGGTATATCACTTTTAAATGCATTTTCGAAGAGTTCCATGACTTTATCTATCTTTATTGGATGACACTGATATTCTACATCTAATAACTGCATAAACAATTTCTCATTTTTCTAAAAAGGAAAAAATGTTAAGACCTTTTATCACTGGGTAGGCGACAGGGTAAGAGAGGGTTTAGGTAATCTCAGGACGTACATATGGTAGATGAGAATGGAGGACACAGAGTAAACCCATGAGTTTAGGCAGACAACCCTACTCCTTGTAACATAAAAGTCTGAGATGAAAACAATGAATCATGGCTCAATGATAGACCCTATAATCTTAATCCCATATGTTTAACCACTCAATACATTTCGTCCTGTCATGATCCCATTGTTTCACACCAAATTTGAAAAAAAACGTAGCCTGTCACTTACACAAGCTTTACTGAAAAGGGGGCACAACTCCAGAAAGGAAGGTTGTCTAACTCTGAAAACTGAAAGGTTTCGTCTCCTCATGAGCTTCACAGCAAATTTGAAAAAATCCCTTGAAAACTGCAGCCTCTATTACTTTCACAAGACAATTGTCGAAAAACTGAAATGTGGGTGCATAAAAATGTCTTAGCTAATTTCATATAATCAAAATATGCAAAAAATTGACTAGCGATCGGTATGCAAGCTTATTGGTTTTACTGATATTATTACTAATTTACAGACAAACTGGTAATAGCTGTAAATTGTACTAAAATAATAGCTAACCTGATCATGAGATATTGCTTCTTTTAAAATAGTTCGAGCTTTATCTGCATTCTCTTTCAACTGAAATAATAAAAGTCTGAGATTATGGGATGAAACAAAATATAAATATAGGAATGTGTGTTTCTTTGTAGCATAATTTTTTTATTTTTTTTTCAGGTACCCTAAAACCTCTGTAGTGGGGTTTGGGGTTGTAAGTCCTTGCGTAGTCAGGGTTGTAGTGGGGCCCTAAAGAAAGAAAGAAAGATCAACCGGACGTAATGATCTGAAGCATATATGGGAAGACTATTCGATAATGAACTAATAAATCTAACCTTCTGTAAATATCTGGCATATTTTATCGAAAAGAAAGATCGAATGGTGGGCGTGGCAGCTGTTCGAATATATTCTTCAAATAACTGTTCAACTTCTGTATGGTTTCCTTGTCTTCTTTCTAGACTAATTCGTCTTATAGCTACCATGACTAACCCTTTAACATTCTGTTCTATACCACGTAATACTTCTCTAGCTGCTGTATAGTTCTCTGTACATTACAATAAAACTGTTATTAAACTATTGCAACTAAAAACATGATGACTAGTCATCACCATCCTGCACCCTTGCACTTGTTTTGAAGGCTAAGGAAAAACAACTTTTTGGAATATCAATGGGACAAATCAGAAGATTCATACTCTGATCACAGTAGATCGGCAAGCAGTGCTCACTCTGAGTTCCAATTTTCTTCTGCCAATTTTTCATTTTAATTTATTAACCATTTATTTTTTCTGCCCCCCCCCCCCAAATTAAAGATACGTTGCCAGGCAATGAAACATACGCCCACAGCAGCTAAATTATCCGGAAGTCAACAAGAGTTGTCGCATATTTTTACTTTTTTCGGTACTGAAACATTAATAATACACTAAAATCTGATTAAGGGTAACAACTCATTAAGTAATTATCAGAAAATCATCAGAATTTGTTTGGTTTTTATAAAGTTCAAAATCAATTTACTTGTTCGTCTCTATTAACTTTGGCCTCTAGAGCGTCCACAAGATTTTTTGAAGTGATCAAGGGCCATAATTCTGGCAGTAATTATCAGAAGTCGCTGAAAATTAATAGGATTCTTCGTCTCATGACTTCAAACACTGGATATTAACTTTAGCCTCTAGAGCGTCCACAAACAATTGTGGACGCCGAACCGACGGACGGACTTGGGCGACGACACTATACGACCACATTTCAATGTGGGCATATAATAATTAATAATCTGTAAGTTTTACTACATATTTTACTTTCAATATAAATACATACAATATACATACAATATTACAATTTATAAAATTCTTTGAAAGCTTTTTTAGTACACTACAACCAGTTGTGAATGAATTTGTAAAATTAGCTGATTCACAAGTGGAACAAACATTGTGTTGATAGCTGCATCATACCTTAACCAAGGATTTGAACATTTCCATTTATCCCTAAAGTTTAACCTTTTCCAAATGCACTTAAAATTTTATGCTTGTCGAATTGTTTCTCTGCCGAAGACTTTTAAGGTAGACCTATTGTGGAAGTGGAATAATCACTTCAACACCCAAGGAGGAAGTAATATCATCAGATGGATGAGAGCTGATGTCAGTATCATCTGTGGTCTTGGAGCATATTGGTGATAGCATACTAAAATAATCTGACATTCTACTATCATTATCGGACGTTAAAGAAGGCTGTTCAATTTTTTGCTTGCGACCCATGGCATTTGATTTAATAATAACTGACTTTCGACAACCCCAAGAATATTTATAAACTGTAACAACAAAACTGGCTTCATTTATTAACAGTACCGGCAACTGCAGTAAGAAAAAGATCAAACAGAAGGCATAATCCAATAATCCCAAATAAGAAAAAAAAAAGTATATTGCTCATATCCACCATTTTGAATAGAAACTATCAAAAAAAAAGCCACCGATTCATACTTGAATACAAATAATTAATTCTTTTGTCTCTTAATAATTAGTTTATTATTACCTTTACTGTAAATACCTATCTAGATCAATTAAGCATACATTATGCAAGAGCTAAATCTGCCTATTGCAAGTCTTTATTTAGGCTTCAGAAATTATAGAAATTATTAATTAGACCTTTATTTACATGACAAGCTCAAAATCAACTCTGTAGACCCTCAGATGGCTTGGATACAGCTTGGATTTAAACTGTCGTCTATTTAAAACTAAATCAAGAAATAGCCGACCAAGCTAACGTTTACCGTTAGTCACTGGCGTCACTACCGGAAACTGGTGATGAAAGGCCATTGAGAATGTTACTCGATAATCCCTATTTCTAGTCTAAACTTCCAACGGTGACAACTTCGTTCAGAATCAAGTAATTTGACTGAAATTTTCAGTATTTTCTTTTTTTTACCATCTATTTTTGAATTATTATAGCAAGAATGGTCAACTCAAACTAATGTATCTTTAATAGACAAAAGATAACTCTAAAAAATATCGCCATTCAGGAAAAAGTTACCGCCAAAAATGTGTAGTAACAAGCCAACATTGAGGCTGATGTCCCCCGCCGAAATCCCAAAATAAATAGATGAAACATATTCATTAATCGCACTTTTATTTTTTTCAAAAGTATCAAGCAATCAAACACTATACACTAAGTTTCATCACTCTCTATCAGACAGAATCAAAGTTATCTTGTCCCAAAGCATCAACCAATGAAATTGCTTAGCTCTGCTTAGCTTCAGCTCGAAATGTTAATCATTGAACTCAGTCAAGACATTCACCTAATGAACATCTACATCAAGTTTAAACATTCTACCTCAATTAAAAGCAGAGTTATGTTCCAAAGTCTTGACCATTCAAATTGCTTATCGATCCTTAGCCTAAGCAGAAAATTCGCATCATCAAACTTAGTCAAGGTATATAATGAATCTACACTCAAGAGTTTCATCACTCTCACTTAATTAAAAACAAAGTTATCGTGACCCAAAGCATCAACCAATCAGATTGTTTATATCTGCTTACCGTAAGTAGACAATGTTTATCATCGAACTCCATCAATGCATTCACCTAAGGAAGACCTACACCAAGTTTGAACATTATACCTCAATTAGAAGGAGAGTTATAGTGTTTCAAAGTCTCAACCAATCAAATTGCTTACTGCTCTGCTTACCCTAAGCAGAAAATGCTTATTATGAAACTTAGTCAAGGTATTGATGTGAAAAAAACTATACACCAGGTGTCCTCACTCTCACTTAATTGGAACCTCTGCTTACCCTAAGCAGAAAATGCTCATCTTCGAACTCCATCAAGGTATTGACCTAATAAACACTACACTAATTTTGAGCATTCTAGCTCAATTAGAAAAAGTTATTGTGTCCCAAAAAGTGTATTGGACGGACAGACAGACAGACGAACCCATTACAACATTCCCCTGCTTTCTTCGAAAATCAGGGGACAAAAATTCAAAAAACATTCAACAGAGAAATTTGTTTCCATGGAAACATAAAAATTTCTAATTAGCAAAAGGCACACAGGTTGATGTCTGTACAAAGTTTCATGAAGATATCTTGAATGGTTTGAGATATGCTACGGAAACAAAATTGTACACCAAAAACTGAGTCAAATTTGTTCCCATGGAAACACAAAATATATAAATCAAGTGTGTGCAAAGTTTCAAAAAGATATTTTGAAATGAGATATGCTCCAGAAACAAAATTGTACACGAAAAAGTCAAATTTGTTTCCATGGAAACACAAAAAATATAAATCCCAGAAATTCCTAAAAGCAAAAGGCACAACTACTGTAACAGATTTATGTGTGTACAAACTTTCAAAAAGATATCTTGAATGAGTTATGAGATATGCTCCGGAAATGTTATCGGAACGAATGGACGAACCCGACTTCATTCAGCACAGGATAAAAACTGAGAACCATACACTGTGGACTAAAAATGCTCAAGTGATTTTACTTTTAACAAAACCTTTCATATCGTTCAACTCTGGCTAAATGTTCAGATCCCCTGTTTCAGAGTTGTTAGACTTAGAAAATACCTTTACTTTTAGTTCAACACCAGAAGCCAGAATTAGCTATTTAATTTTTACTAGCAAGTCTTGTTTTGCTGTTTTAGCTATATATAAATATATATCGACTGGTTTGTTAATAAGGTCGACCACACTATGAACTAGAAACCAGCTCTCTTTTGGAATTGTGCAGTTATATCTAAAGTTTCATGTCAATCATACTGGTTAAGACTTTTTTTTTTAAGTCTTGCACCCCAAGTAAAACAAGATGACTAGTCATCAACATCCCGCGACCTTGCACTTGTTTGGAAGAAATAAGGAAAAATAACTTGTTTATGCTATTGGTAATCAATATAAAAATGTATCAGATTTCGCAAACAGTGTCACTGGTCCTAATATTGTGGCCCTGTTTAGTAGATATTGCTCTCTATTTCTGAAAACAAATGACTGATTGATATTTACTAGAAGATTTGAAATAATTTATGACATTAAGCTCTGGTTTTAAAAATTAGACATGACTACATAGAAAAGAGAGATATTTTGCAAGTGGAGGGAACTGGAGCTTTAGACAAATCTCATATTCCAACACATGGAATATTAATTCACAGAATTTCATACTCTGATCACAGTAGCTCGGCAAGGTAGGGTCGCTACTCCCTGTAAGGTTTGCACAACAACCTTTGCCTACCTCAATTAGCTGCTGTATGTTAAACAATAAACTTATACATCAGAAAATAAAATACTATAATAGGTTAATGTTTGTACAAAATTTCAAAAAGATTTCTTGAACAGATAATAAAATATGCTCCAGAAACAAAATCAGGATGGAAGGCTGGATTTCAGAAAATAAAATAATGGGTAAAATTATTTTAAAGGTATCTTGAACAGTCAAATGTGTTTCCATGGAAACACAGAAAATTATCAAATCTAAGAAATTCAAAATAAGTACCATGAAGATATCTTGAACGATTTATGAGATATGCTCCAGAAACAAAATTGTACACCAAAAACTAAGTAAAATTTGTTTCCATGGAAACACACAAAATATCAATCCCAGAAATTCCTAAATAGCAAAAGGCACAACTACTGTAACGGGTTGATGTATGTGCAAAGTTTCAGAAAGATATCTTGAACGGTTTATGAGATATGCTCCGGAAACAAAATTGTACACCAAAAACTAAGTCAAATGTGTTTCCATGGAAACACAAAAAATATAAATCCCAGAAATTAATAAATAGCAAAAGGCACAACTACTGTAATAGGTTGATGTGTGTGCAAAGTTTCAGAAAGATATCTTGAACGGTTTATGAGATATGCTCCGGAAACCAAATTGTACACCAAAAACTAAGTCATTTTTGTTTCCATGGAAACACACAAAATATCAATCCCAGAAATTCCTTATTGGCAAAAAGCACAACTACTGTAATAGGTTGATGTGTGTGCAAAGTTTCAGAAAGATATCTTGAATGGTTTATGAGATATGCTCCGGAAACAAAATTATACACCAAAAAACTAAGTCAAATTTGTTTCCATGGAAACACAATAAATATAAATCTCAAAAATTCATAAATAGCAAAAGGCACAACTACTGTAATAGGTTGATGTGTGTGCAAAGTTTCAGAAAGATATCTTGAACGGTTTATGAGATATGCCCCGGAAACAAAATTATACACCAAAAAAACTAAGTCAAATTTGTTTCCATGGAAACACAATAAATATAAATCTCAAAAATTCATAAATAGCAAAAGGCACAACTACTGTAATAGGTTGATGTGTGTGCAAAGTTTCAGAAAGATATCTTGGACGGTTTATGAGATATGCCCCGGAAACAAAATTATACACTAAAAACTAAGTCAAATTTGTTTCCATGGAAACATAAAAAATATAAATCCCAGAAATTCCTAAATAGCAAAAGGCACAACTACTGTAATAGGTTGATGTGTGTGCAAAGTTTCAGAAAGATATCTTGAACGGTTTATGAGATATGCTCCGGAAACGAGGACGGACGGACGAACCCCAATTCAATATCCCTCCCTAACTTCGTTCGGCGCAGGATAAAAAGAAAACAAAAAAACACAAATAAGATTAACAATGAATGGATAAAGTTACTGGTTTCAAAAACTTACGTTGTCTTTCTTCAAAAGCTGCCCAAGCCAGGTGTATATACGGTTTCTTTGGTAAATGTATCTGGCAAACTCTTTTATAAACATTGCGTACACCACTAGTACTATGTTGTTCTAAATATTTAGCATACTGAAAAAAACATTTTGTGAAGTAAGCTTACTGAAAAATGCATTATTAAAGGTACCCAAAGGAATAATATTTAGCATCTCGTCACATTACTTACAGTCGATTTTTCCAGACCTGTAGCTAGCTGGGAGAGGGGGGCAGCCCAACCAATGACACTCGGCTGATATGGGTACGCTGGACGTTGGATTCGTATTGCATCCAATGAAAAGGGCACAGTAAGGCCCCCCCCCCCCCCCCGCTAACTACGGGCCTGATTTCATAGTTTCATAATCATGTGTGTAATGCTAGGAAGAGAATATTGACCCGCTAACAAAATCGACAAGAAAATTTTTTCAAAAATATCTTACGGTATCCTTGAAGCGATTTGACTAATCAGTTATGCCAGGGATGTTCAAATTAGATTGTACAAAACAAGCTTTAATTTCTATACAAAAAAAATTACTAACTTTCTATTCAGTTTGGATAAAATGTGACATGATAGTCTCACCTTCATCCAGAAATCTTCATACAAGCCACATGCTATCATACATCTCTCAAATAAAACTACAACTCTCTCATGGCATCCATTACTGATTTCAAAATCTAAATATTCTCTCCAATTCTTGAGTTGTGATCTTTCTAATGGTTTCACGTGAAAATATGGCCTCCGGATCTAAAATAACACAAAGAGGAAAAACAAAATTTTAAATTCAGTTAATTTCAGACTTTAAAACAGGTTAACAAATGTTTTTTCTTCATTTTCAACCAAATTGGATCTAAATATCTTAGTGTATGGAATCAAAATGCAATCAGATTGGTTTATTCCAAACTCAAAAATAATAAAACTACTGTAAACATTCTGCCATAAGGTAATAATTAAAGCTAAAAAGCATTTGCATAACATTGGGAGTCATCCGCGACATACTTCAATTGAAACTTATTTGTGGGGGCATTTCTATACATCATTTAGAATTTTTTCATGCTACATTAAATTTACCTTGCACTATCGTACTAGTATCCAATTAAAATTGGGTTGACTTGAAGATTCAAAGAGAAAGAATAGAATTAGGGTCAAACATACAGCCATGCTGTTACAGATCTATGCTGATAGATTAACTTACAGCTTCTTCATAACCCCATCTTTTACTGACTTCGTTTTCATTTTGTTTGTATATAACTTCTCGTAATTCTATTACTCTTTCTTGAACTTTAATAGCTTCATCTTTATCACCCTATAATTATAAACAGACAAATCACATTTCTTTATCACTCTTTTTCTATAAACAGACATATCACATTTCTTTATCACCCTATTTCTATAAACAGCCAAATCAAATTTCTATTTCAACTTATTTCTATAAACAGCCAAATCAAATTTCCATATCACCCTATATTATAAACAAAGTCTTAATCATGTTTGTTTTACATTCTATCTCATCAGGATTATCAATTCATTGCAATTTTATTCGAAGGAGAGACAAGTATATTTGCCCTATCCAACAGGTGCGTGTTAGATGCTGCATTCAATTTCACTGACCTTCACCTCATATTTGTTTTTTTAATTACTTCCTCACGCCTACCTAGATTCAAGCACATGTGTTACATAAAGTTATAACATACAAGTTATATTAATCCTGCAATGGCCAGTTATTCTGTTGTACATGTACTTGAAAATTTAAAACATTTTAAATTTTATTTTTACCACAGAATTTGTGTCTTCCAGGCCAGGTGGAATATCAACACCTGGTGGTTCATCTTCACCTGGTGGTAATTCATCAGCTCCTCCATCATCTTCATGTTCATCCTTACTAGATATCACTACCTCTTGTCGTAACGTTAAAAATTCATCTAATTGCAATGTTTCTTTAGGATGATGTTTTCGAATGTGATTTTTGAAACTGAAAGGAAAGTAGAAACATCCAATCTCACTAGACAAATACTGGATTCCCTGAAAAACACCCATGGAGCGCACACATGACAAAAATGTAAGGGTCTCCCCTAACCAATAACTTGTTGATTAGGGATGTCTGCTCCTGTGATGTCAAAGGCTGCATGCAAAGATTGTCTGATCTCTCAAAACTGAGCTCATAATGTATATGTTGATAAACTTGATGAGCTTAAGAGTGGAACAGGTTCTGAGATAAAGATAGGTTGCCATGCAACAAAACATACACCCGCAGCAGCTAAGTCGGCCGTGCGGTCAACAAGTGTTGTCGCATATTTTGTTCTTTTGTCAGTAATGAGAACATTTACAACACATGAAAATCTGATTACGAGTAATAACACATGAAGTAATTATCAGAAAACATTAGAATTTGTTAAGATTGTGTCTCATGACCTTAAACAATTTATATTAACTTTAGCTGCTAGAGTGAGTGATTGAATAAATGGATTTTTAGCCTCTAGAGCGTCTACAAGATTTTTCAAAGTGATCAAGGGCCTCAACTCTGGCAGTGATTACCGGAAATCATAGAAAATGAATAGGATTCTGTCTCATGACCTTAAACACTGCATATAAGTTTAGCCTCAAGAGCTTCTACAAGATTTTTCAAAGGGTTAAGGGCTATAACTCTGGCAGTAATTATCGAAAATAGTTGAAAATCAATTGGCTTCTTCGTTGCCTGACCTTAAACAGTACGTACAAATTTAGAGTCAATCGTATATTAACTTTTGCCTCTAGAGTGCCCACAAGATATTTCAAAGCAATCAAGGGCCATAACGCTGGCAGTAATTATCGGAAATCATTGAAAATCAATAGGTTACTGCGTCCCTCGAGCTCAAACACTGTGCATACATTTAAAGTCAATCGGATATTAACTTTAACCTCTAGAGCGTCCACAAGACATTTCAAAGAGATCAAGGGCTATAACTCTGACTGCCAGAAACCGTTGAAAATCAATAGGCTTCTTCTCATGACCTTAAACTCTGTGTATAAAATTCAAGTGAATCAGATATTAACTTTAGCCAGTCTTAGAGTATCCACAAGCAACTGTGGTCGCTGGACCGACGGCTGGACCAATGACCGGACTGACGACAATATACTTACACATTTCAATGTGGGCGTATAAAAACCATGGAAAGAGACGTGGGCAGTGGATAATCCGAGAATTTAATTAGGTTTCGATATTTATGATAAATGGACAGCGATTAAAGACAACAAATCTTTTAATAGATTTTTTTATAGAATAGCAGGGGTATTCGCTCAAATTACCCAGTTTGTACTCAGGAAGGTATCTTTATTGCTGACAATAAATTTCACAAATTGTGACATACTATACTGCAATTTTAATTATATACTTTTACATGAACACATTTTGAGCTCTGATTAATTCTGACTGATTTGTTGTAATGGATTGGTTGTTAACCCACCATAAATTGCTAAAGGAATCATTGGTCTGTCCAGTAGTGGGTGAGATTGAATCTAACCAAACCAAACACTGCCAGGAGCATGCTTTTTCCCTGGATATTTGAAGAAAGTCTTTTTCAGATACAACTAATGGCCAATGATTATGAGCTGATCACAGCAATCTTCAATAAAGTTCTCTAATTCTGAACATTTAAAATATAAATAGATATTTACCCTTCAAAATGGTGACTATAAAGTTGTGTGGGTATAGATAAGACCTTTTCATATAATTGTGTGACACGTTTCAAGTTGTTTTTACTGGTTTCCCAGGCAATATAAGAATCCCATAGTTTATCAGATTTAAAATCTGTACCTGAAGCTTCTACTGCTCGTTCATATAGCCTGTAAACAACATATAAAAATTTATTTAAATTTGTTCGACAAATGCAGTTGATAAAGAGGGTTCAAACAAGCTATATGCTCCTAAATTTGATAAAAGAGAAAGAGGTGGTATCATATGTATATGTCCTTTCTTAAATGTAAATAATGCTACTGATAAAGAGGGTTCAGATGAGTTATTACCTCCTAAATTTGATTACCTCGCTTATGAACAATATAGAAAATAGGTATTATACTTAAAGGAGCTAAATCGCTAATATTTGGGATCAGAAATTGACACAAATGGGTCACACAGCATATAATAATGTAATCTGATTGTATATAAACTGATTTACATTCTATTGTTTCCATTTTGACTAATTTCAAATCAGTTATGTCCAGCGAAATACGGCTTAAGTCTCAACCGAATGCCAATTTCTAGCGTCCGGTTATTCCAGTCTATTGCGCATGCTCTCCAGACGTGGTATGGCGTCACCATTTGACAGGAGTTGTTGAATATGTCTAGCCTCGTTCTTTCTGGTCACTTGTTACAAATGACGCTGAAACGCACTATGGTACACAATTCGTGTACCAATGGTAAAATTTATTTTGTCTTAAATATTGCATATCAGAAGCCTAACTTTTCCCGGTAAGATTACATTAATTACAACATCAATGTTGATTTGAATTGACAAATAATTTGTGTTTTCAACATGTAAGACTTTGGATGATATAGAGTTAGAGACTTAGGTACTTTAAACCTACGCTAAATGTTAATTTGAAAGATATTATCCATGTTACAAGCACCTGCGATGAGTTTTATGATTAACTGACATAGACTTGCTATAACTGTAGGCAGATAATGGTTATATTATTTGTTAGTATAAACTATCATTGAGGTGCAATATGAGTAAAGCACAGTTTTGTTCTTAAAGTATTTTTTTTTTACAAGATAAATCACCTAAATTGTTACTCATAATAATATACAACACCTACTTTCTTATTTTTTCTTCAGCACCTTCATTTTCTCCAAATTCTGTTGTATAGAAAGTGATATAGTGAATCCATAAGTCTATACTAAGTGGTATACCTTTCACACCCCTCTCAAAAATCTGAAAAGCAACATCAAATCTTATAGAACATTTCCTTTAATATCTACAATAAATTTCCGAATTTCAACGCAGTAGTTTTTTTAGACCCGTAAAGTATTATACGAATTTTACCGTCACTTAATCTTTCCACCAAAACTTTTGTAAACAATTTGTCACTGCCTCGTGATTTCCGTCTAAATTGACAGTTTCTTCACTCTGATGACTAATTAATTAATGATAGAACATTCGAGACATTTTTGTCATCAAACCTATCACATTTCAACTTTCCATTTTATTCCTGAAATGATACAAATGTCATATTTCCACAAAACAAATTCAATAAAGTTTCATGAACAAAAAATGAAAAAAAAAAGAATTTATCCTTGTCTTCAGATCCCATAATTAAATATTTTATCTTTAGATTATGTAATTATTGATTGAATTAATATTGTTATACCCCCCACCCCCCAACACACACACAAAAAACAAAAAGTAACAAAAAAAAAATCCCCCTTATTTATGCCTTTAATATTTGGCTGATTTTATTAAAACAAAACCATACATCAAATCGCTAGGCTACAAACAGTAGGACTATTTTACATCCTATACTGCTGGGTGATACAAGCCTATTTTAACTTTTCAACAGACTGGGTGATATAACTAATATCATTAATCATCATGATACAATGTAAATCATTTCTTCGATAATAAAACAATAAAACCAAGAAAAAATATTACATCTGCCATCCATGTATAACTGAATAGAAAAGTCTGGTGAGGTCAAAATGCATGTACATTGTACATTGTGTGGAAAATATTTAAAAACATGCCATTTTTTTTTTTATTGCATAATTATTGCCATTGTTTTAAGAATGATACCACTGATTATTTGACCATTAATATAGTTTTTCATGTAATGGTATGGTTTTCCCAGAACACTTGTTAGTGATCGGGGCGCCGCTTTCATGGCAAAACTCATTAATGCCGTGTTGGAGCTCTTTCAAATGCCATATCAAAATTATCCATATCGCCCAGCACTAAAATCTTGTGTTCTCTACCAACTATGCAAAATACATTTGCTAAGCAAACTGTCATGCAATACTATTGACCAGCAGTTGCCAGGCAAGATACGCCCACATTTTTCAAGAGATGGATAGAGATAAAGCTAAAAAACAAAAGCAATTTTTCGTACAATCAGGGGCCATAATCCAGGAAGTTATGGTCTGAAGTGCGCAAATATCTTTAGGACTTAAATATATATTTTAAGTTTCATCAAAATCAGATAAAAATTGTGACATCTAGCGGGTCCACAACCTTTGTATTACATACTTTTACACAATTTGCGTACAAAAAGCGCCCATTTTGTCGGGCAGTTTAGTTTCGATTTTCTCGAAATTCGAATTCAACCATCAATTTGGTGGAATGGTGATATATTTAATTTAAACATTTTTTAAAATCGGATAAAAAATTGTGACAGCTAGAGAATCTACTAGCTAAAAAACACGATTTTTCCTACAATCAGGGAACATAATCAAGGAAGTTACAGCCTGATATGCATAAATAGCAAAAGGAACTGAGATCTTTGGGACATAAAAATATATTTTAAGTTTCATCAAAACCCGATAACAATTATGACTTCTAGAGGGTCCACAACCTTGGTATGACACGATCTTTGGATTATAAACAAACATTTCAAGTTTCATCAAAATCGGATAAAAATTGTGACTTCTAGAGTGTCCACAACCTTTACACGTTTTGTGTACAAGGAGCGTCCATTTTGTCTGGTAGTTTTGGTCAGATTTTTACGAAATTTGAACTGAACTCTCAATTATGTGTAACAATGATATATTTAAACAATTTTTAAAATTGAATACAAATTGTGACTTCTAGCTAAAAATAGGATTTTTCGAATCAGGGGCCATAATCCAGGAAGTTATGTTTGGATATGCGCGATTATTGAAAGGAACCAAGATCTTTGTGATGTAAAAATAAATTTAAAGCCAAGGTTCATCAAAATCGGATAAAAATTGTGGCCTCTAGAGGTTCCACAACCTTGATATACCCTATTTTTACACTATTGACCACAATATGCGATATGCGCGAATATCGAAAGGAACCAAGATCTTTGGGTTATAAACATGACTGTATTTCAAGTATCATCAAAATCAGACCAAAATTGTGACTTGATATACCATATGTTTACACTATTTGCATACAGGGGTGGCTATTTTGTCCGGCAGTTTTGGTCCGATTTTCACAAAATTCGAACTCAACCGACATCACGGAGTAACGGGGATATACATGTAGTCAGAGTTTTTTTTAAATCGGATAATAAATGTGACCCGTAGCGGGACCACAAGCTAAAAACGCGATTTTTCGTACAATCAGGGGCCATAATTCAGGAAGTTACAATCCGATATGCGCGAATATCGAAAGGAACCAAGATTTTGGGGTTAAAAACATGTATTTCAAGTCTCATCAAAATCGGATCGAAATTGTAACCTCTAGAGGATCTTTGTGATATAAACATAAATTTAAAGTTTCATCAAAATCGGATAAAAATTGTGGCCTCTTGAGGGTCCACAACCTTGATATACCATGTTTACACTATTTGCGTACAAATGATATATTCAAATGATTTTTAGATCAGATAATAATTGTGACCTCTAGGGGGACCACAAGCTAAAAACACGATATTTAGTATAATCAGGGGACATAATTCAGGAAGTTGCGATCCGATATGCGCGAATCTCGAAAGGAACCAAAATCTTTGGGTTATCAACATACATTTTAAGTTCCATCAAAATCAGACAAAAATTGTGACATCTAAGACTGTCCACAAGCTAAAAATATGATTTTTCATACCATCAGGGAGGCCATAATTCATGAAGTTATGGTCCAAGATCTTTGGTAGATAGTTTTGTCAAAATGGACGGATAGGGGCAACGGCACAACTCTTTATCACCACGATAAATAAAAGATGCTAAATTTCTGATTATATATCACTGTTTATTTCGCAAAGGTGAGGTATATTATTAGCTCATATTTTTCTTTTATGAAGGTCACCTGAAACTTACCTCGTTTATAAACAAACTAAATAAGAAGAGCCGCAATTCATACAATAATATTGTGATCATATTAATCAAATACTTATATCATATTAAAACTGGATTTGAAACAATTATTGGCTTGCTAAAAACATTCATCATGTCTGGTCTTGTTCAAAAGTCTTCATCAGCAATGATGTCTGGGAAAAAACTGAACTCTGACCCCATTCTTTGCATTCGTTTATCATGTAAAAAAGAAAATGTTCAAAATTACAATTTCATGAAAATTATCTTTTTTTTCTGATCTTGATTCACAATCCGACGCAGACGCGAACTATATTAAGAAATATAAAATGAACCTACTTCACAGGCTTTTTCCATATTATTGCTCTTCTTTTCCACATCACTGTATTTCTTCCAATATCCATAGCAATATGGATAATGTAGAAAAAATTCATCATAGGCCTTTCTAGCTCCATCGATATCATTCTGCAAATAAAGAAACAGAATTTGCTAAAACTAAATAATACAAAATGTTTACCGAGTTTGCAATTTAAACAGTTATTTGATAAACCAAAGTGAAAAATCATGGAAATTAGCAAATATTTATGGACACTCGATAAGGCTAACAGCTATAAAATATTTTAGAACTTTCTTTTGAGTTTTTCTGATATATTGGGTCATTTATCTCAGTACCTCAACTACCAAATGAAAAAAACTGCGAAGTGGTTTACCGATATGTAATTTTGCACGCATAGATTTCTGAGGAATTATAACCCAATATTACCAGGAAAATTCAAGTCTCATATATATCGTTGGTGAAGTGTCAAAAGGGTGTATATAAGAATTTCTAAAGATTAAGAAATAGAACCTTTTGCATTTCAAAATTTCCACAAATCAAGATACAACATTTGGACACATGATACCCAGAACAGTTCTAATTGGCGTAGAGATACACAGTTTTGACAGAAATGTGCATATTAATTGGTAGATTTAAAAAAAAAGTGTATTTGAATAATTTCCCGAGAAACACCCTTTTGACATTTCACCGACGATAAATTTATATGAAAAATAATTATCTATCATTAGTTTAGTTCACATATTACACTAAATATAATTATAATGAGAGCTCTTACACTAAGAACTAAGTAAGGGTTGATCTGTGCATGGAGGCCATAGAAATTTCTGTCTGGGGTGTACGTCTATCGAAAGAAAATTAATTTCTTGAATATTACTTGGTGAATTAATTAACGCTAGAGGTAAATAACTGTGCGACAGTGCGTTTTCTGCAGAGGTGTGTTAATTAACTGATGGGTTAAAAATGAATGTCAGTGGTGTGTATTGTTTAACTGGTGTGTTTTCTCCATTGGGTGTAATCAAGGACCAGCAGACTTTATCTGGCATGTGCGTGATAAATTAAAATTTTGGAAGTAAAACTGGTTTGCCGTGCAATTTCTCATTGGACCATGTGTTTTATGCAGGTCTTTGTAAAATTAAGGACAGTCTTTAGATCGGTGTGTTTGCTCACTATATGCTCGATGTATTCTTATCAGACACCATACGCAGTTTAAACTGCACACCATAGTCACGCTACTTATAGATAAAGTTGCATTTAATAGAACAAAACAAGCCAACAGTGAGGCTGATGTCCCCCGCCGACATAGGAAAATAATTAGAGGACACATATAAAAATCAAATTGCGAATCGCTCTGCTTACCCTGAGCAGAAAATGCTCATTATCAAACTTAGTCAAGGTATTACTGTAATGAAACTATACACCAAGTTTCATCAATCTCACTTAATTAGAACTAAAGTTATCGTGTCTCAAAGCATCAACCAATCAAATTGCTTATCTCTGCTTACCCTAAGCGGAAAATGCTCATCTTCGAACTCCATCAAGGCATTGACCTAATCAACACATACACCAAGTTTGAACATTCTAGCTCAATTAGGAAGAGAGTTATCGTGCCCCAAAGTATCAACCAATCAAATTGCTTATCT